CTCAGGTTGCTGAGTCTGGTCAGGTAGCTGCGTCGGGTCAGGTGTTTGCTGCAGCGTCCCGGTCTGGTCCTGAGTCTGCCCCCTGCTCGTGTCGCCTCCTGTCTCACCAGACTCTCCTCTGGCACCACCGCCTTGGTCACCCCTCCCTGCCTCGCCTCCGAGGCATGGCCTCCCGTGTCCTTGTCTCTGGTCTCCCCCGGTCCCTCCCTCCCCTTCCTCCAGGGCCTGCCCCTACCTGTGTTCCCTGCGTCGAGGGCCGGCAGCGCGCCGCTCCTCACTCCTCCGAGTTTCCTCCGACAGAGGCTCCGCTGCAGACTCTCCACATGGACGTGTGGGGCCCAGCCCGCGTCCGTGGACAGGGTCACGAGCGTTACTTCCTGCTGGTTGTTGACGACTACTCGCGTTACACCACAGTCTTCCCCTTGAGCCGCAAGGGTGAGGTCACCGAGGTGTTGATCGACTGGATCCGCGCTGCCCGTCTCCAGCTCAGAGAGAGTTTCGGCTCGGACTTTCCTGTTCTGCGTCTACACTCCGACAGAGGTGGAGACTTTTCCTCCGACCTTCTGCGAGCCTTCTGTCGTGCGGAGGGCATCCGCCAGACGTTCACGCTTCCGGCCTCTCCACAGCAAAATGGGATTGCTGAGCGCCGCATTGGCATGGTCATGGACGTCGCTCGTACGTCCATGATCCATGCGGCTGCTCCCCATTTTCTGTGGCCGTTCGCGGTTTAGTACGCGGCGCATCAGATCAACCTCCAGCCCCGGGTCTCCATGCCGGAGACCTCCCCTACTCTGCGGTGGACGGGGAAGGTTGGCGATGCGTCTGCGTTCCGTGTCTGGGGATCTCGAGCTTTCGTCCGCGACTTGTCTGCGGACAAGCTGTCCTCCCGTGCTGTTCCCTGCGTCTTCCTTGGCTTCCCCCCTGATGCGCCTGGTTGGCAGTTTTACCACCCCACCTCGCGCCGTGTTCTGTCCTCTCAGGACGTCACGTTTGACGAGTCGGTTCCTTACTACCGTCTCTTCCCCTACCGCACTGCCCCCCTCCCCCCCCCCGCCGCTCTTCCTCGCGCCAGGTCCTCCCCCGGTAGACCCCCTCCCCCCTCAGGGTCCTGCCCCCTCAGGTGTGTCCCAGGTAGACGCAGTCGAGCCTGTCGAGGTAGCTGTTGACTCTGGTGCTGCTAGGGGTGCTGAGCCTGCGGGTGCCGGGTCTGGGGGTGCTGAGCCTGAGCGTGCGGAGCCTGGGGGTGCTGAGTCTGGGGGTGCTGAGCCTGGGGGTGCGGAGCCTGAGGGTGCTGAGCCTGTGCGTGTGGAGTCTGGAGGTGCTGCGCCTGGAGGTCCTTCGGGTGCTTCGTCCCGGCGAGAGCCACTCTCTCCACAGCAGCTGCGCGAGTGGTTTGCTCGCCACTGGAGCCGTGCTGCTGGAGCTGGTGGTGCTACGGGCGCTGGAGGTCCTGCTGCTGCTGGAGCTGCTGGGAGTTCTGGAGCCACTGGTCCCGGAGGTGCTCGTACTGGAGGTACTGGAGCTGCTGGGCCTGGTGGTGCTGCTGGGGCTAGAGCTGCTGGAGGTGCTGGAGCTGGCGCTACTGGAGCTGCTGGAGGTGCTGCTGGAGCTGGTGGTGCTGGAGGTGCTGGAGCTGGAGCTACTGGAGCCGGTGCTCCTGGGGGTGCTGGTGTTGGCGCTACTGGAGCTGCTGGAGGTGCTGCTGGAGCTGGTGGTGTTGCAGGAGTTGGAGCTGACACTGGGGGTGCTGGTGCTGTTCCTGCTGGTTCTGGAGGCGCTGCGCGGCCGCGGCCGTACTTCGTTCCGCTCCTTGAGCAGGTTCTTGGTCTCCCGCCTTCTACTGGTCCTGCTCCTTCCGTAGAGTGTCCACAGCCTGTCCAGTCCGAGTCACAGTTACAGCCGGCCTCCTCACTGCCTGCTCCTTCTCCTTACACTGGTCCGACAGGAGGTCTTACGGAGCGTCGTGAGCCTGAGTCTCGTCCTGCGTCACCTGTTCGCGTTGTTCGCACTGGTCGTCGTGCTCCGCGTGAGCGTCCTCCTCCTGTCCCTGGCACGCACCAGATGGCTCTGCGTCCTTCCACTGCTCCACAGCGTGTCCCTCTGCCGTCTCCTCCTGCGTCCTCTCTTCCTGTCCTTGCTGACCTGAGTCCACTGCTACGTCTGCCTTAGTTGCCGAGCTTGTCGACTTTGCTGCTCACTGTCGTCTAGACTACGCCGCTAGTCTTGTTGCTGAGTCTGAGTCTGTCTGTCCTCCGTCCATCGGGGGTGAGTGTTCTCATAGCACGGACGTCCTTGAGGACAAGCAGGAGGAGTTTCAGTGTTTTGCTGCTGCTTTACCTCATCTCGTGTCCATGCTGCTTGCCCCTGAGGGAGACCCGGATGCACCAGACATCCCGACCCCGCGCTCTTACGCAGAGGCGATAGATGGTCCCTACTCCTCTCAGTGGCAGACAGCCATGGACGCAGAGATGGCTTCCTGGAAGTCCACAAGCACCTACGTCGACGAGGTTCCCCCGCCTGGGGCGAACATCGTCAGTGGCATGTGGATGAAGCGGCCGCCGGGTTCTCCGCCTGTCTTCAAGGCGCGCTACGTGGCTCGAGGCTTCAGTCAGCGGCAGGGAGTTGACTACTTTCAGACCTTCTCTCCCACCCCGAAGATGACCACTCTTCGGGTACTGCTGCACGTCGCTGCTCAGCGTGACTACGAGCTGCACTCTCTTGACTTCAGCACAGCCTTCCTACAGGGCAGCCTGCACGAGGAGATCTGGCTGCGCCTCCCACCTGGCTTCACTGGGTCGTTCCCTCCTGGTACCCAGTGGAGCCTCCGGCAGCCAGTCTACGGTCTCCGCCAGGCGCCCCGTGAGTGGCACGACACACTGAGGACTACGCTTGCGGCTCTTGGCTTTGCTCCTTCCACTGCTGACCCGTCGCTGTTTCTCCGCACCGACACTACTCTGCCGCCGTTCTACATCCTCGTGTACGTCGACGACTTGGTCTTTGCTACTGCTGACATTGCTGGACTGGCCCACGTGAAGTCGGAGCTGCAGAAGAGACACACGTGCACAGACCTGGGTGAGCTGCGCAGCTATCTTGGCTTGCAGATCACCCGGGACAGAGCACGGCGCACCATTACTTTGACTCAGTCACACATGGTGCAGCAGGTCCTTCAGCGCTTCAACTTCACGTACTCCTCGCCTCAGGCCACTCCTCTGTCTACTCGCCACTCGCTCTCAGCTCTGCCTTCGGATGAGTCCGTAGAGCCGAGTGGCCCGTACCCAGAGCTTGTTGGCTGCCTCATGTACCTGATGACCTGCACTCGACCTGACCTGGCATACCCTCTTAGCATCTTGGCACGCTATGTTGCTCCTGGGAGACACCGACCAGAGCACATGGATGCAGCTAAGAGGGTGTTGCGCTACCTGTGCAGTACGTCGGGCATGGGGCTCGTGCTTGGAGGACGGGCTCGAGTTTTCCTCACTGGTCATGCAGACGCTTCTTGGGTTGACGACTTGGCTATGCAGCGGTCGTCACAGGGTTACACCTTCAACCTTGGTTCCGGCTCTGTTTCGTGGCGGTCTACGCGCTCGTCTTCTGTTCTCAGCTCCAGTTGTGAGGCTGAGATCTACGCTGGGGCCATGGCTGCACAGGAGTTACGCTGGATCACCTACCTGCTGACCGACTTGGGAGAGGCGCCTCGTTCTCCTCCAGTTCTGTACGTCGACAACAAGGCCATGCTTGCCTTGTGTCAGGAGCACAGACTGGAGCACAGAACGAAGCACATTGCTCTGCGCTTCTTCCTTGCTCGAGAGTTGCAGCAGCGTGGTAAGCTTCGTCTTGCTTACGTGGCTTGTCGGGCCAACACTGCTGATATCTTTACCAAGGCACTTCAGCCTTGTGATCATCAGCGTTTGTGTACCATGTTAGGTCTTGTGCCTACCTGGCCTCACTTACTCACCTCTTGACTTTGCTTGTACTGTGATCTATATATACCTGCACCTGCATGCTTGCCCTTGCTAGGTTGCGATCACTATCTTGCTTGTTCACCTTGATTTATAACTCTGCATGTGAACTGGCCTTGTGGCCTTGTACGTGTGCTGAGACTGCGTGGTGACGTCGTGATCCACCCTGAGCTTGACCATTGCCTTGTTCTCTTGCTTGTCCCCCACTTTGCCTATGGGGGTGTGTCAGAACTATACTGTAGGCTGTAGTGGGGCACACCTTATGGGGCACAACCCTGTTAGGTTTTGCCCATACAAACCCTGTACTGTCCTGTTTTTGCTCTGCGCTACTTCCTTGCTGTACTTCGCCGAGTCGGCCTACGCTTTGGGACTAGCCCGAAGCTCGCGGCCAGCACTGCACTAGCTAGCTCGCAAGTCCGCGTTACCGTTTGCTTATTTTTGCTATAAGTTCGCTCATGTCTTCGCTCACATTTGTACTCTTTAGTGCAATTCTAACAAAAGGTAATACGGTAGAGTACCTTATGTCTTCTTCTCTGGTACGGTATTTTTTGAAATTTATCGCTTCAAATCCAGTGCCATCCATCCCATCAAGTCGCGAAATTCGAGGCCAAATGACCAGAGCGTTTTCTCACGGCACTAGCGTCTGCCGCCTGTCGCTGGTCACGTCACATTCTAGGGACGATCGCCACACCACCGGCTTGCACACGTGTCGGAACCACCACCTGCCAGGCTCTCATTCGCTGCCTGGCCTGCTCCACTGGTTCGGATCGGATACGCCGCCATCGCTATGGCTCAAACCGCTCTTATGCTCCTCCCGCGTCGCCGTCGCAGGGCCACTGCCCATGGCAGCAGGGCCACTCCCACGGCAGCAGATATTGTGGCAGGGACGGGCGATGCCATTTTTTCGTCGACGCCAAGTTACTTCTTTCCTCATTTCTTCCGCGTTCCAGCACCACTCTTTCCCCTCTCCTCCCTTTTCTCGCTCGCACCCACGCTCGTGCCGCATGCGTGCCCTAGTCGCATCGGTCGCTCGCCAACGACATGTCGCCCGACAGCCCCCCGTCTACATCCGCCCTCTGCCGCCTGCTTCGTGCCAGCCAAGATGGCGGGCACGAGAGTGAGGGGGCCGGCGGGCGGCCCGTGGGCGAGCGGCGGTGGCGGTGGCGGTGGCGGTGGCGCGCGCGATGGCGCGAGGCGGCGGTGGCGGGAGCGCGGCCGCAGGAGCGATGGGGGCACTCCGCCGTGGCGTGGGATGGCAAGCTGATCGTGTTCGGGGTGAGTGGAGGCATGCTGATCGTGTTCGGGGTGAGTGGAGGCAAGCTGATCGTGTTCGGGGTGAGTGGAGGCATGCGGACGAGTGGAGGTGAAAAGCTCTGCTACAGTGGTGAGTCAGCCGGGACAACACGTGTTGCCACCGGTGCGTGCGTTGAGGTGTGTGCGCTGACGTGCAGGGCGTAGGTCCGAGTGAGAGGGGTAGGTTTGAGTGAAAGGGGTGGGATTGGGTGGGCCAAAGGGAGAGGGAGGGATGGGTGGTAGCATGGCGAGGATGCGTAGGTCCGTGTGTGCGCTATCGCTATCGCGAGCGCTGCTTCCGTGCGCCAAACGCACCCTCCCAATCTCTGTCTTACCCTTCCCCCCCTCCCTCCCCCCCTCTCCCCTCGTGTGCCCGCAGGGGTGTTTCGGCGCGCAGCACTTCTCCACCGTGCTCGCGCTGGACCTCACCACCCTCGCCTGGGCGCCCCTCTCCGCGCAAGGCGCCCTGCCGCCGCCCTCCGACTGCCACTCCGCGTCGCTGCTCTCCCGCGGCCGCATGCTCGTCTTCGGCGGCACCGATGGGCGCCGCCGCCTGGCGTGCACGCACGTGCTGCACCTGCCGTCCAAGCAGTGGCGCCGCGTGGGGGGAGGAGTGGCAGGGGAAAGGGAGAGGACGAGGGGGTGTGAGCAGGGTGAGAGTGTGAGTGAAGTGGGTGCGATGGAGGAGGGAGCGGAAGGGAGTGAGGTGGAGGGAGGTGAGAGGGGGCGCCAGGGGGTTGGAGGGGAGATGGAGAGTGGCGTGAGCTGCATGGACGAGGCGATGGTGCCAGGGCGGCAGGGGAGGAAAGGTGGGGAGGGGAGGCGGCGGCAGGTGGAGAGGCGGGGCAGTGACGGGTCGCACGTGTCGAGCAGCAGCGTGGCGAGGCACGGAGGCGAGGGCGAGGGGGGCGAGGGGCTGGTGTGGGCCACGAGGCAGGGCAGTGGCGATGACGTGGACGTGCATGGCAGCAGCCTGGGCGCTGGCGACCCTGCAGCATGCTTCCGGGTGGGCCCTGTGCAGCCCGGCTCGTGGCATGAGCACAGCACGCTTGCTGCTGCGCACCCCCCTGCCAGGGAGAGCCACGCAGCAGCGGTTGTGTGGCTGCCACGGCGAAAGAGGGTGGAGGAGGAAGCGGGAGGGCGTGCGGTGGAGTGGAGAGAGACTGTGCTGGTGTTCGGCGGCAGTGGGGATGAGGAGGGCGGCGAGGGTGAGAATGAGAGTGCGAGGGAGGAAGGCATGGAGGGGTGGAGGCGGGAGGAGCAGAGAGACGGGGGAGGGGAGGGAGGCAGCATGAGTGAGGGGGGCGGCAAGAGGCGGTACCTGAACGACCTGTGGGGGCTGGACGTGCCCTCCATGACGTGGTGCCGCCTCCACGCGCCCCATGCTCTGCCGCCTGCCAGCCGTGCGCCACATGGCACGCCACGGGGCATGGCACGTCACCCTCCCCCCTGTGCGCGCGACAGCCACAGCATGGTGGTGATGGGCGGGGCGCACGAGCAGCAGGTGGCGGTGGTGTTTGGCGGCGACTGTGGAGCGCGCTACCTCGCCGACCTGCACCTGCTGCACGTCCACGACCTCTCCTGGCACCACGTGCGTGCCCGCTGGGCGAGGGCTGTGAGGGGGTGGGCTGTGAGGGGGTGCGCTGTGAGGGGGTGGGCTGTGAGGGGGTGGGCTGTGAGGGGGTGGGCTGTGAGGGGGTGTGCTGTGAGGGGGTGGGCTGTGAGGGGGTGGGCTGTGAGGGGGTGTGCTGTGAGGGGGTGTGCTGTGAGGGGGTGGGCTGTGAGGGGGTGGGCTGTGAGGGGGTGTGCTGTGAGGGGGTGGGCTGTGAGGGGGTGTGCTGTGAGGGGGTGGGCTGTGAGGGGGTGTGCTGTGAGGGGGTGGGCTGTGAGGGGGTGGGCTGTGAGGGGGTGTGCTGTGAGGGGGTGGGCTGTGAGGGGGTGTGCTGTGAGGGGGTGGGCTGTGAGGGGGTGTGCTGTGAGGGGGTGGGCTGTGAGGGGGTGTGCTGTGAGGGGGTGGGCTGTGAGGGGGTGGGCTGTGAGGGGGTGTGCTGTGAGGGGGTGGGCTGTGAGGGGGGTGTGCTGTGAGGGGGTGGGCTGTGAGGGGGTGTGCTGTGAGGGGGTGGGCTGTGAGGGGGTGTGCTGTGAGGGGGTGGGCTGTGAGGGGGTGTGCTGTGAGGGGGTGGGCTGTGAGGGGGTGTGCTGTGAGGGGGTGGGCTGTGAGGGGGTGTGCTGTGAGGGGGTGGGCTGTGAGGGGGTGTGCTGTGAGGGGGTGTGCTGTGAGGGGGTGGGCTGTGAGGGGGTGGGCTGTGAGGGGTTACCTGTGGGGCATATCAGCTGTGGAATGGGGGTGGTATAAGTGGGGGTAGCTATGGGCTGGTGGAATAAGCGCGGAGAGAGAGGGGTTAGTATAAGGAGAGTGCTGTTGATGCTCTGCTTACTATTCAGACTCTATTCTATACTCCCAACACCCACACACACACCCCCAACACCTTTCTCTCTTCCCCCGCATGCTGTCTCCCTCGCAGATACCAGCGCCAGCGGGAGCGCAGTGGCCGGCGCCAAGAGCAGCCCACAGTGCGGTGGCCCTCACGCCCTCCCAGGTGGGTACCGTTTCCTGTGCTCAACAACTGGCACATACGCTAGCCAGGCATGCTTCTTGCCGATCCCACACTCATGCGGTGGGTGCAATGCTGCTGCCACATGCGGCATGCGCCAGCCTAAGCGGGTCAGACGCTCATGAGCCGTAGCATGATGAATCCACCCAACTCAAGCATCCCCACTTATCTCCACTCTGCCGCCCACGTGCCTCACCCGTCTGTCCTCGCTCTCGCAGAGTCCAACCCAGCATGCCACGTGGCTGCTCATCCCCCTCTCCCCTTCTCTCCCCTTCTCTCCCACCTTGCCTTGCCCCTCTCTCTCCCTCCCTTCCGCCCCTCCTCTGCCCCGCAGATGCTGCTGCTGGGAGGAGTGGGCGACGGTGGCTACTTCAATGACACGTGGCTCTTTGACCTGCCCTCTGCCACGTGGCACCAGCTACATCCACCAATCACAGCCGGCCCTGCCATGCTGGCATCACACGAGTCGATGGTGGAACAGCCGGAAGCAGAGGAAGCGTCGGCAGCAGCAGCGGAGGGAGGGGCGGCGTGTGAGGAGGAGGAGGGGCAGCAGCCGCGGGCGTGCTTCTCCCACACGGCCACCCTGCTGCCCGACGGCTGCACTGTCGCACTCTTTGGCGGGTAAGATGGGCCTGGGGGAAGGGGAACGGGGAAGGGGGGAGGGGGAAGGGGGAAATGGGGAGGGGGGAGAAGCAGGGAATGGAATGTAGGGAGGGAACTGATGGAGTGCATTCCGTTGCTCTGCTCACTGATATCTTCTTGCCGTCACACTCGCCCCTTACTTACCTCCATGATCGTGTTGCCATCACACTCGCCCCTCACTTCCCCTGCGTCCACCATGGCCCCCTTCTTGCACCATGTATTGGCCTTTCCTACTTCACCTCCTCGCACGTGCAGCCTTCTCTCTGCTACATTCATTTCTTGTGCTGCAATACGTGCCTTGCTTGCTCCTGTTCGTTTGCAATACAGGCATCTCCTGCATGCGAGCTGTTCTCGCCTCCCACCCACTCCATGCCTGTTCCCTCCCCCCAACCACCCCATGCGTGCGCTCTCCCCGCAGCTGTGGGCGTGACGAGCAGCCCTGCAGCGACCTCATGCTGCTGCACCTCCACTCTCCTGTACGCACCCACCCACCCACCCACCCACCCATCCACCCACCCACCCACCCACCCTCGCCTGCATCTGCTTGCCACAGCTGCTATGCGTGCACAGAGCATGGCATGAGTTAGGTGACCACTTGAAGCAAGGCACACCTTGCTGCATTGCCGCCTGCCCTCTCATCTCGTCCCCTCGTTCTTCTCACCGCAGGGTGCACCTTCCTTCAATTCTCCTCTGCATTCACTCACCCTCCCTGCTGTATCCTCCTCTCCTCACCCTCTACCCCCTACCTCGCTTTCTTTGTCCTCCTCCCTCCTCGCTTTCCACTGCTCTCCCCATCCTCTCCACCCCTCCAGCCCGCCAGTCCTTCCCCTCTCTGTGCGCGTCCCCCATCCTCTGCGTCTCTGCCCGCGCCTGCTGCTGCGCGCACGGGGGGCGAGGAGGAGAAGGGCAGCGGGGCAGGGGCGGTGGAGCAAGGAGACAGAGCTGTGGGGGTGGAAGAGCAAGGGGGGGAGGCAATGGGAAGGTGGCGGGAGGGAGGAGAGGTGATGGAGTGGAGGGCGGTGTGGGAGGGGGGAGGGGAGGAGGAGGCCGAGGTGGGCAGGCAGCAGACAGGCGAAGAGAGGAGCTTTCTCGATGAGCTGGCGGGCATTCTGAATGATGGTGGGGAGGGGTTGTTGGCACGAGGGGTACAGATGGATGGATGGATGGATGGATGGATGGATGGGTGAATGGATGGATGGATGGATGGATGGATGGATGGATGGATGGATGGATGGATGGATGGATGGATGGATGGATGGATGGATGGATGGATGGATGGATGGATGGATGGAATGGATGGATGGATGGATGGATGGATGGATGGATGGATGGATGGATGGATGGATGGATGGATGGATGGATGGATGGATGGATGGATGGATGGATGGATGGATGGATGGATGGATGGATGGATGGATGGATGGATGGATGGATGGATGGATGGATGGATGGATGGATGGATGGATGGATGGATGGATGGATGGATGGATGGATGGATGGATGGATGGATGGATGGATGGATGGATGGATGGATGGATGGATGGATGGATGGATGGATGGATGGATGGATGGATGGATGGATGGATGGATGGATGGATGGATGGATGGATGGATGGATGGATGGATGGATGGATGGATGGATGGATGGATGGATGGATGGATGGATGGATGGATGGATGGATGGATGGATGGATGGATGGATGGATGGATGGATGGATGGATGGATGGATGGATGGATGGATGGATGGATGGATGGATGGATGGATGGATGGATGGATGGATGGATGGATGGATGGATGGATGGATGGATGGATGGGTGCATGGATGCATGGATGGATGGATGGATGGATGGGTGCATGGATGCATGGATGCATGAATGGATGTGTGTGGCCTCACGTTATCATCATGGCAGTGCATGCATTATGTGTGCAGGTCTGTGTTGGTTTCATTCATTTCTTGCTTTCTATCACTTACAGCCTACTCCATACATTCAGCTTAAAGCCTTCACAAGGCCAAGCCACACACATTCTCTCGTGTTCTCATTCCCAAGTTTCTCATCGCGTTGAAAGCAATGTGCACTCGCACGCGCCTGCACTCGCACGCGCCTGCTATCACGTCTCTCCTCGCATGCACTCGTTCTTCCGTTCCGTCACCAGGCTCTCCGTCTCCCATCAGTGCCACCTATCCGCCTTCACTCATGCTTTCTCCTTCCACATCTCCCCCCCACCCCCACCCATCCTTTCCTGTTGCGCTCCCTCTCCTCCCTCTGTCAGGCGCGCCCTCCAAGTCACAGCCGCCAGCCACCATCGCCGCTACCACCCTTCCCCAGCTGCGCCCTTCCTCCATCCCAGCGGGTGGGGAGAGCAGCGAGCAAGCAGCGCCGGCACGAGGTGGAGCAGCAGGCACAGCAGCAGCGGTGGCGAGGCAGGGCAGGGCGCGGGGGCGGCCGCGGCGCTACGTGGTGTCGGAGGCGGGCGAGCGCATGGTGAGTGCAGCGCTGCGAGCCAGGCAGGCCGGGGTGGGGGGAGAGGTGGGGGGAAGTGGAGCGAAGGGGGGAGGCGGTACTGTGGTGGGGCAAGGGGCAGCAATGGGTAGCGATGCGAGTGGGAAGGGGGAAGGGGAGGAGGGAGACAGTGCTGGTAAGGATGGGGGCGGCGGTGAAGAGCATGGGGCACTGCTGGTAAGAGAAGGTGGCGCCGCCTTGAGTGGTGGCAGTCGCCCCAAGCTGCAACCGAAACGAGCAGGCAGTCGAGGTGTGGCGCGTGGCAGTGAGGTGGTATGGACACATGGGATGGCAGCGAGGGGCGAGGTGGAGTTGTCGCCATTCGAGCATGGCACTGCGGATGGAAGTCTGCACTCTGCTCCTCCTCCTCCTGCTGCTCACGAGGGGCATGTGTCCCTGCCTGTATGGCAGCAACAGCGTGGCATGGCATGGCAGCAAGGGGATGTTTTTGGTGCGGCAGATGCCGCTGCTGCTATTCCTGCCACTCTCCCTCTCTCCACGCTGCCTGCCCTCCACGCCACACCCTCCTCTGCCCTCCACGCCACACCCTCCTCTGCCCTCCACGCCACACCCTCCTCTGCCCCGCAGCAGCCCCGCGTGTCCGAGGTCGCCCCTCCCAGGCAGCACGTCGCCGTGCCGTCGTCCCTGTCAGCGCGCCCCCTCATTGCACTGCACGGCCGCCCCGTGGGCCATGCCAAGGGGCACAGCGGGGCAGGGCAGCCCGGGGGGGGAGAGGGGGCGAGGGGGGATGGCAGGGGTGACGCATGGGCATGCGAGGGCAGTGGGGGGGGAGAGGGAGGCGTGGCGGCGATGGAGGCAGGGGTGGGAGGGGGTGGTGGCGGGGTGCGGTGCGGAGAGGGCTGGCGTCCCCACGCCCACCTGCTGCACCTCGGCATCGGCCGCATCGTGCGCTGCCCTGTAAGCCTCTGCTCTGCCTGCCCATGCCTTTCGCTCAGTGGGATGGGTGCTGAATCCATGGCAGGTAGTGCACCTTAACCATTGCACGATCCCATGTGCTCACCACCCATGTGCTCACCGCCCATGTGCTCACCACCCATGTGCTCACCGCCCATGTGCTCACCACCCATGTGCTCACCACCCATGTGCTCACCACCCATGTGCTCACCACCCATGTGCTCACCGCCCATGTGCTCACCACCCATGTGCTCACCGCCCATGTGCTCACCACCCATGTGCTCACCACCCATGTGCTCACCACCCATGTGCTCACCACCCATGTGCTCACCGCCCATGTGCTCACCACCCATGTGCTCACCGCCCATGTGCTCACCACCCATGTGCTCAACGCCCATGTGCTCACCGCCCATGTGCTCACCGCCCATGTGCTCACCGCCCATGTGCTCACCGCCCATGTGCTCACCGCCCATGTGCTCACCGCCCATGTGCTCACCACCCATGTGCTCACCACCCATGTGCTGACCGCCCATGTGCTCACCACCCATGTGCTCACCGCCCATGTGCTCACCACCCATGTGCTCACCGCCCATGTGCTCACCACCCATGTGCTCACCACCCATGTGCTCACCGCCCATGTGCTCACCGCCCATGTGCTCACCACCCATGTGCTCACCGCCCATGTGCTCACCGCCCTTGTGCTCACCACCCATGTGCTCACCACCTATGTGCTCACCGCCCATGTGCTCACCGCCCATGTGCTCACCGCCCATGTGCTCACCACCCATGTGCTCACCGCCCATGTGCTCACCGCCCATGTGCTCACCGCCCTTGTGCTCACCGCCCATGTGCTCACCGCCCATGTGCTCACCACCCATGTGCTCACCGCCCATGTGCTCACCACCCATGTGCTCACCGCCCATGTGCTCACCGCCCATGTGCTCACCGCCCATGTGCTCAACGCCCATGTGCTCACCACCCATGTGCTCACCGCCCATGTGCTCACCGCCCATGTGCTCACCGCCCATGTGCTCACCGCCCATGTGCTCACCGCCCTTGTGCTCACCGCCCATGTGCTCACCGCCCATGTGCTCACTGCCCATGTGCTCACCGCCCATGTGCTCACCGCCCATGTGCTCACCGCCCATGTGCTCACCACCCATGTGCTCACCGCCCATGTGCTGACCGCCCATGTGCTCACCACCCATGTGCTCACCGCCCATGTGCTCACCACCCATGTGCTCACCGCCCATGTGCTCACCACCCATGTGCTCACCGCCCATGTGCTCACCGCCCATGTGCTCACCGCCCATGTGCTCAACGCCCATGTGCTCACCACCCATGTGCTCACCGCCCATGTGCTCACCACCCATGTGCTCACCGCCCATGTGCTCACCGCCCATGTGCTCACCGCCCATGTGCTCACCGCCCATGTGCTCACCACCCATGTGCTCACCGCCCATGCGCTCACCACCCATGTGCTCACCACCCATGTGCTCACCGCCCATGTGCTCACCGCCCATGTGCTCACCGCCCATGTGCTCACCACCCATGTGCTCACCGCCCATGTGCTCACCGCCCATGTGCTCACCGCCCATGTGCTCACCACCACCCTCCTCTTCCCCCCTTCCCCTCCCTGCCGTGCTCGCCAGTCGGGAGCATCACTGGCAGTGCGCGTGGACGGGGTGTTTGACGGCGGTGTCACGCTGGCAGCGCAGGTCGGCGCCCACACGCTCTCCGGTGTGCTGCTCGCCCCGCCTGCTGTGAGTCCAGCTGCCCTTTCCACCCCCAGCTGCCCTTTCCACCCCCAGCTGCCCTTTCCACCCCCAGCTGCCAGCCGTGTGCACGCAACTCGCTGCAACAAGGCCACATGAGGTTTTACGCTACCCCATATGATCCCACATGTTCTGTTTTCTTTGGCCTCGCATGTCGTTTCTCACTCCACACTCCCCTGCTCCACCTTCACCTCACACCCAAGCCTTCCTGTCTTACCTTCCCATCTCTCGGCATGCAGCTGAGGTCCATCCTCCTCTCACCGCCTCCCCACTTGTCCGCACCTCCTCCTCGCCCCGCCGCCACACCGCCACCACCCTCTCCTGCACGCCCCTCGTCTGCACTGCTGCTGCCCGCCATCCCTGCTTCCAATGGGCGTCTGACACCTGGCGGTACCACAGCCCCAGGCACTGACACTGGCGGTGGCTGTGGTGGCGGCAGCAGCGATGGCTCCCTGCACCCACCAGCAGTGGCAGCAGCAGCGTCATGCAGTGTGTCGGCTCATTCCACCCCGCCAGCAGCATCGGCTGACACGCATCCAGAGAAGCCTGGTGGTGTCGCGGGGAGGAAGCGGCAGGGCGCAGCAGGTAGAGGTGGAGGGAGGGGGCGGGGGAGGCAGGGGGGGCGAGGGAAGAGGGCGAAGCAGAGTGGGAGTGAAGCAGGGGCAGGCGATACGGATATGGCGAAGGCGGGTGGGGAGGCAAGGCGGAGCAAAGCCAGGACAAGGAAGGGGCAGATGGGGGGAGAAGGCAGGTGGGGAGGGGGAGGGGTGAGGGAAGTGGAGAGAGGCGAGGAGAAGGTGAATCAGGTAGCGATGGGGGAAGTGCACGGGGAGCAGAGGGCGTGGGAGGCGAGAGAGGAGAGTCAACGCATGGAGGTGAAGGGAGACCAGGGGGGAGAAGAGAGGAGGGAAGGATGGCAAGGTGGTGAATGGGGAAGAGAGCGCGAGCAGCATGAACGATTGGAGAGGCGTGTTGGGCAAGGGGCACAGCCGACACACTTGCAGGAGCAGCATGAGCAGCAGCAGCACGATGCTGCGTTTGGTCTCCAGACTGCTTGGCCCCATCCCAATGCTGCACCGCAGCCTCCAACCACTCTCATGCCCACACTACCCCATCCCACTTGCATGCTGCCCCCACGGCCCCTGCCAAGCAGCGTGGCACTGTATGGCTGTGAGATGCAGGGGGGCAGCGGAGAGCAGCAGAGGGCAGTGGGGAACGTGAGTGTTCTTGGAGGAAATGCTGCTGTGCATCATGGTGGCGGTGGTGGTGGTGGTGGTGGTGGTGGCGGCGGTGGTGGTTGTGGCGGCGGTGGTGGTGGTGGTGGTGGAGGAGGAGGGGTGGGGGGAAGTGGGGAGGGCATGCAGGAAGGGGAGCGGGATGAGGAGGCGGTGCAATGGCAGGCAGACATGAATGTGAGCATGCATGGTGATGAGCATCCGCAGTGGCATGGTGAGGAGGAGGGAGGTGGCAACGGCATGAAAGCAGGTGGTCGTGGCGGGATGGGAAGTGGCACTCACGCTGCCATGGAGGCGGAGCACCACCCTGCGGCAGCCGCTAAGGCTGAGGCGGCACATGCTCCACACAGCTCTCACGGCCTCCACACCCCTTGCACCGCGCATGCCAGTCAGCGCCCTCTTGCCGCTCACAGCACCCGTGGCGCTGCCGACCTTGTCACTCACGGCATGTGCAGCATGGAGCAGTGGATGGCCGAGCTGCAGGGCGCACCGGGGCATGGCGAGGGGCATGGCGAGGGGCATGGCGAGGGGCATGGCGAGGGGCACACAGGAGAGCAGCTCACAGGAGGGGCGCAGCTTCCTCAGCCTGCTGCTGGTGGCAACGCTGGCAGCTCACTGCACAGCCTGGCAGCACACCCACACTCTCATGGCCACATGTCACCGGGGTTGCATGAGTGGGGCGACTGCACAGGTGGCAGTGGCAGTGGCAGCGGCAGTGGCGAGTGGCATCTGATTGCCTCGCCTCCCTCCCCCCTCCACCTCATCGGCCTTGACTCCTCCCTCCACTCTCCCTTGCTCCACCCTCACTCGCACGTCGCCTCACACACGCCCCCCTCCACCCCTCCCTCACTGCATCTGCCCCCCCTGTCCCTGCCACCGCTCCTGCTGCCGCCCCTCCACCTGCCCGCACTCCCCTCATCCGACCACGTGGGGTCGTCCCCCGCGCCCCCCACGCCCCACGGCACCCGCCTCTCCCACTCCAGCGCACCCACGCAGCACACAGGGGCAAGCATGGGTGGGGCGGAGGGTCAACGGGAGGCTGCTGAAGGTGCACGTGGGGTTGCACTGACCAGTGAAGATGGGAGGGGTGTGCTTGACGGTGCTCTCAAGGATGGCAGGCCAGGGTTGAATGGAGGTCAGAACCATCATCTAGAGCTGATTAGGTTCTCTCCATTGCATTGGTGAAGTTAATGTGGCCAAGTTTGTTGAGAATGACTATTATTGTCAACGTACACATATACATTTGCATGTGCACTTCCTAGGCTAGGTTGGGTTGTTCTATAGAGGGTATGAGATGATGCTTATATCCCCTTTGTATGCCCTCATTAGTCATTCGTTTTTGTTTATAACATGGTATTAGATGTACCGGTAGGTTCGGTTCTTCGCTTCCGCACCTCCTACCTCACTAGCTGCCCCATGTGCCCTTGTGCCCTCGATTAGCGCATCCCCACCCACCCCCACCCCACCCTCCCCCCCTCCTCGCGCCCCGTCCTGCCCCGCTGCGGCCCCGCCCCCACCGTTGCCCTTGCCCGCGCCCGTGTCCAAGCCCGTGCCTACACCCGCGATTGCGCTCGCCGCGCCTGCCGCCCGCTTCACCACCCGCGCCTGACGCATTGCTCTCTCGCATGCTGCGCCTGTCGCCGCGCTGCTCCTTCGCATGCCGCGCATGTCGCCGCCCCGCTCGCCGGGCCTACTTGACGGCCCCTCTCATCTACAGTAGCTGAGCCCCATCTCACTCCTGTCATGGCGTCCCAGTTTGTACTGCGACTCGATGCAGAGGGGCGGGAGATTGACTTGACGCGTCGCTGCTCGACGTCAAGCTCCACCTGCGGAGCCAACGCCTGGATAACGTCTCCCTGTACGCCCCCGTGTTGGGCGAGGTACCTGCCCCCCAGCGTCCTACTGCCCTTGCTGTTGAGCCTACGTCGGGGGAGCGAGAAGCTCACCGCATGGCCCGACTTGCGTACTTAGTTAATGAGTCGCGTGACGGTGCTGCGCGCCTTGTTCTTAGTCGCCTCCTGCCGCTGGCAAAGCGGGTGCACTTTCGCCAGGTCGTGTCGGCGAAAGAGTGCCTGGATTCTATTCTTGCTCGCTACTGCACCCCCCCCCCCCCCCCTCTGCTATTCAGGGGCGCCTCCTTATGCCCTTCTTCTTTTCTGATCTCCCTGAATTCTCCACTGTCCCTAACCTCACTATCCACCTACACTTGCTTGACACTAGCTTCTGCACTGCTTGCACTACTCATGGCCTTGCTGAGCACGCCCCCCTATGTTTGCCACCCTTAGCGACCTGGCTCCCTGACCGCCTCACGCCTGTCTGCAATGCCCTCCTCGCACCATCGCCTCCACCACTGGTGCGGTAGTCCTCCCCATCGTTGGGCACGGGTGTGGGCACGGGCTTAAGCACGGGCTTGGGCACGGTCTACTGCCCCAGTTCCCTACCCAGTCGGGGGTGACTAACTAGGACCCGTCGTCTAGTCAATCCGTTGGGGGTGTCGTCGCAGTTAATCATGTCAAAGTGAAATGTCTGTCACATCGAGTGTTCTCGCCGGCAGTTCTTGGGTAAACATGAAATCAACCCTCCAACGAATGCGAACCCGGCCCATGCATTCCCGTGGCGTGCCATCGACCAGTCGTGCGTCGAACTTGGGTAAGAATCGGTCCAATGTCAATTGCATTTTTGAAGCTGTTGTGGTGTTCAACAGGCTGTGGCTAGCTTCGCCGTCTATGAAACCAAGTCGTTGTGAATTTCTCATATGAGAAGCATGTGGATGTATATCATTGTTCAGCCGAGTGTAGTCGACCGCGTGGATTGTCACTGTCACTCTTTCCAGTGCCCGTCTGACTTTCTCTGCTTCTCCTCCAGACATTTGCTTTGCGATGCCGGGGCCAATTGCATGAGAAGTAGCGTCCTCGAAACATCGTGACAATGACATTCGCGGCCACGGAATGTATGGTGGCATACTCGGTTGTCCCGCGGGTTTGATGTACCCACTTGTTATAAGGCCCGCCGCAGCAAATCCAGCTTCTCCGTCATCGCCATGATGTTGTCAAAGTTGGTGACGCTGCGGAGCAGGAATTCTTTCAAACTCTTGAGCTTAACGCCACCAATCTAGAAGCGCGCCCCACCTCATGCATGGTAGCCCACCTTCTCACAAAGCATCATGAATCCGCTCGTAAAATCGTGGACCGATCCTAGCAGTCGCCAAGGGCGCAGCTTTTGACGCGTCGAAAACGAAGTCGTGATCGGCTCGAGCCCCATGCGTCCCACGTGCGGTATTGGATTACGATGGTGCCCAATAGATTCTAGGTCTGGAAGGTCCCTCCTTTTGCAGCAGCGGCTCGTACTTGTTCGGCGCAGTCCCTTTGACATGCCACCAATCGATGGCAGGTCCTCGTAGTAACGATATTCAACAAAAACAACAACAACAACAACAACAACAACAACAACAACAACAACAACAACAACAACAACAACAACAACAACAACAACAACAACAACAACAACAACAACAACAAAAACAACAACAACAACAACAACAACAACAACAACAACAACAACAACAACAACAACAACAACAACAACAACAACAACAACAACAACAACAACAACAACAACAGCAACAGCAAAAACAACAGCAACAGCAAAAACAACAGCAACAACAGCAACAACAGCAACAACAACAACAACAACAACAACAACAACAACAACAACAACAACAACAACAACAACAACAACAACAACAACAACAACAACAACAACAACAACAACAGCAACAACAGCAGCAACAGCAGCAACAGCAGCTGTCAATGGGAGTTGTGTGTTGGCCCAGTCCGCGCTTGGGCGGAGCCGACTTCATGGTCGGGTGTGAGGGGAGCAGCCGACCTGCAGCAGTGGGCGAGCTGGTTGACGAGGAGGTCGACCTGCACGGGGGCCACTGCATGGGCGCCAACTTCAGGGTGGCGCCGACTTTAGGGAGGTCGACCTGGGAAGTCGACCTGCGGAAGGCGTCAACTTGGTGACGCCGACTTCTGGTAGCCGACTTGGGTGGTCGGCTGACAACTGCGCTGGTCGAAATGGAGCTGGTCGACCAGGAGTGCTGGTCGACGTGGAGCTGGTCGACCAGGAGTGACGTCGACCTGGGGCTGGTCGACCAGGGGTGTGGTCGACCTGGTGAGGTCGACTTGGGGTGGTCGTCGACTTGGGAGGTCGACGGGCACATACGGGAACAGCTGGTCGACCTGGTTGCCCGGTCGACCAGGTTACCTGGGTGACGAGGTTCTGCGGAGGAGTGCGACGGTCGCCCAGGCGAAGTTGGCGATTCCGACCTCGGTGGTGGTATCCCGAGGTCGACGTGGCTGATCAGATGCAGACGTCAGCGCCAGGTTGACTTGGTGTGTGCGCTGTGCAGGTGACGAGGCTCAGCACGCCAATCATCTGCGAGCACCTGCGGAGCTGGTGCGATGCTGTACTGCGGGAGCAACGTTGGCACGCCGTCGACCTGCTGCGTTGGCACGCCGTCGACTTTGCACTGCTGGAGCGCGGTCGACCAAGTCGTGCTGGAACGCGGTCGACCATGCTGCGCTGTCAGTCGACCGACCTGAGTGCTAGCTCTGATGTAGTCTTGCCATGCCAACTTTATTGTACCATTGTTGTCAACCTTTCTTAGTGAAACTCTTGCCAAATTGCCCCGTAAACCAGCAAGCAATGTGTGCACTAGGAAAACGACTAAGGACCAACGAATGCAAAGATCACACGAGCACCCGTGCCTAGCCCGTAATCTAGCTCCCGTTGTAGTAGTTATCTCCGCATGGTGCGGTGAGCGTGGACGGCACACGACTTACCTTTCAGTCAGGTCGACGTAGAGGTCACTTACCTAAGTTGTTCGTAGGCCGGTAGCCGTGCAGTCACTAGCGTGCGCGTAGGTGACGCCAAGGGAATGGAGACCCTGGAAGCACAGCTGGAGGACGCGAGGACACGCCATGGGGCCCAGGAGTACGGAACGATCCCCTGGGCGGTTGTGGAGGCTGGCATTCGCACCATGTGGGCGACGTTGCACCCTTCTCGACCTGCGTCTCCTCGACCGGTGAACACAGAGGGCGGCGTCGACGTGGGCGTTAACGCCGGTGGTGACCAGGTCTGCAGCAGTGCGGGAGGCACGTCGAGGCAAAGAGGTGTGATACACGCCGATGAAGTTGGCGGCGTTCAGGCGCAGGGAGTGCGGCCGTCGACGGCTGCAGGCTCCTCGCATGGCAACGTCGGAGGTCGACGAAGCGGGTTGTCGCCGATGTCGGCGACCCAGGTGACGGCAGGCGGGATTGCACCGAGCTACGGCTACTTCAAGTTCATGCCGGACAGGATCTTGGTCACCCCGCCGCTCATTGGTCGACCCGACATCCTCACCTGGAAGGAGGCCATCGAGCCTCAGCTGGAGATGGCCGGACTGATCAGCTTTGCTCGAGGCACTGTGGCGACGCCGGACGACCCCGACTTGCGTGCGGAGTTTCGCGCCGTGCAGCTGTTGACCTTCACGGTCATCTCGCGGTGCTGCTCGCCGGGCGTGCAGATCGCCTTGAAGTGGTGCCGAGAGTACCTCGACGCCAGCCACCGGGCATGGCACTTCATTGAGTCGACCTACCAAGTCACCGACGACTTGTTCATCGCCCAGCTGGAGGGGCAGCTGACGCACCTGCGTATGGGCGACGAGGAGACGGCGACCGACTACTGCAACCAAGCTCGGCGGATCCTCGCCACCATCAGGATGGCCGGCGCGCAGTACTCGACGGCGTCGTATGTCACCCACGTCATGCAGGGACTCTCGAGCAGCTACAACCTGCTGAAGCGGCTGTCCATGGCACCGAGCACGAGGGCGACGCTCAACGAGGACAACTTGACCTCGTACATCCTGCAGGACGAGGCGATGCATGAGGCTGAGCGGTCCCAGGAGCTCTTGGCGCAGGCGCACTTCGTCGCCCCGGCGAAGCAAGGAGGTCGACCAGGGCAGCGCGGACAGTCCGGCGGCGGTGGTAGCAGTGGCTGGAAACCAGCCAAGGAAGTCGACAAGAAGAAGTCGACCAAGGACAGTGGTCGAGGAGGAGGAGGTCGACGTCGGGAATGCTGGCTGTGCGGCGACCCCGACCACCTCTCCTTCGAGTGCCCCGACCGCAGTGACTCCGACGACGACGATTCCAAGAGAGGCCGCGGCAGGTCTGGGAGCCGTCGTCCTCGTCGAGGAGGGAATCAGCCGCGCAAGGAGCAGCAGTCAACCAAGACGTCGACCTCGGCGAAGAACGCCGACTCCTCTGCTGGCGGCAAGGGGCGGGATGACAAGACTGCGTCGTGCTCGCTGGTCGGTGTCGTGGAGCCGACCGTCTCGCTGGCGCCGGAGGCCGGGGAGGACTTCCAGGCGGTGGCGGCAGCTGTGCAGGCAAACCCGGCGGTGGTCCTGCTCGACAGCGGCTGCTCCCACCACCTGATGGGGACAAAGGAAGTCTTCGTCGACCTGCAGCCGAGCAGCTCCATCAAGCACGTGCGTGGCTTCAATGGAGCCCTGCAGGACGTCCAGGGCCGTGGCACTGTCGCCCTGCAAGGGGAGGCCGGGAAGCAGGT